CCTCCCGCCACCGACTGGGCTTGTCCCTCGCCTGTGCCGTGTCCAGGCTGAAGGCCGGGGAGGATTAAAGCAGACCGTGTTTGAGCCTCTGCGGGGTGGCACTGCCCTGTGTCGCGTCCCAGGGCACACCCCACTGGGGTCACCTCGGAGCTGTGCTGGTGGGGGTCTGGGTTCCCCCAGCCAGGAGCTGCTTCGGGAATGAAATCTGTAACGGGGAAGGGGAGGGAGGAAGGTGGGGTGGGAGAGGGAGACTGGAGGTCTCGCTTGGAGCCCTGGGGGTGAAAAGGTGGGTGGCATTTCCACGGATCTCAGCTCTGCCCTGGGATTGCCGGTGGCAGTGATTTCCCTCACTGGCGCTAGGTTTGGCCTCAGGACTGAAAACCTGACACCAGCTTGAGCACCGAGGTGCGCAGCCGAGTCCCGCTGGGCTCTGGCATCTGTCACCGTCGTGGCCAGCTCTGGAGGCGGGTGTTTGCTTCCCGAGAGCTGGGGCTCGTTTGGTGCCAAACCTCAGCTCCTCAGCAGGGCGGCGTTCGGCTGAGAACTGCAGGTTTCCTGCAGTGGAGGAGCAATTCCCCTAAAAACCCTGGAACTCTCCCTGGTCTGGGTGAGCCAGGGAGATGCCCCCAGAGCCTGGCAGCAGGCTGCCCGTTTGGCCCTGGAGCAGCTGCTGGGTCAGCCCTGGGATGATGGGCTGCTGCCTTCACCCCAGGGCTGGGGGGCTGCGCCCCTCTTCTCCCCGCAGCCTGATGAAGGCGATGGAGCAGCGGGTGGAAGCCTTAGGAGCTGAGCCCCACGGCGGCATGTCCGAGGCCACCACACAAATGCTCCAGGAGAGCATCATTCGGGGCAGGTCCAACAGCTACAGCAGGGACCTCCCGAAGGACTGTTCCAGGAGCTCACACGGGACCTGGAGATCCGAGCGGATCTACTGGAGAACAGGGAGGAGGAGATGGCAAGGGCAGGGCCCAGGCAGCACCGCCATGGGCGCCGCAGCAGGGTGGGGAGGCAATAGAAGGCTGGGGACACCTTTGCTTCCCTGCCTGTCCCCTGCTCGCAGGTAGCCTCAGTGCTACGGGAGGAGCTGGGGACGGAGCAGAGCAAGGCCCGGTGCCAGCTGGAGCGGAGGGAGGAAGCAGCAGCAGCGCTGTGGTACGCACAGCCCAGCAAGGGTCCCGGCGCCTGTTCCAGCGCCCACTGGGATGTGGGCAAGGCGCTCTGGGGCTCCCCGTGCAGCCGTGCTCATGGGGTGCACAGCTGGACTGGACGTGCCAGCAGAGCCCAGCGCTTTGGGAAGCTGCAGTGGTGGTGGGGGGAGACCCCGCTTCTCGGGCTGCCCTCTCTGCCATGAGACTGGTACCGGGTCTGCGAGGAGGAGCCGGAACTCCAGCTGTTGGGAGCCGCCGGGTTGTGGCTTAAACCCACCTAACGCAAAACCTGCGAGGGCAGCCCTGAAACCTGCTGCAGCTCAGCGGGAGCAGCCCTCGTCGTTCCCAAGATTCCCGGCGACTTGTGCTTGCCACGGTTTCGCAACAAAGCCGAAGCGGTTTTGGACCCTGCGGAAGGTGCTCCCACTGCTCCCCGCTTCCCGCTGGAAGCTTCCCTCCAGCCTAGGCTGGTGGAACAGGGATGGGACGATGGATTTGAGCCACAGAGAGCCAGGGACTGCGCGAGCTTGGCATGAGGCGCAGGGGAGAGGGGCAGGAGCAGGGCAGAGCCAGCGGCAAGGGTTTATTTCATTTCTGTGCCAAATAGCATATGAACCCTGCAGGGGTTTGAGCGGGACACGCGCTGCCCGGCCCTGCGGGAAATTCAGGCTAGAAGGGGCCTCAGAAGGTCTTGGTTCAGCCTCCCAGCCAAAGCAGCTTCACCTCCGAGGTCAGATGAGGTTACTCTGAGCTTCATCCTGTCTGGCCTTGTAAACCGTGGCCAGCACCTGCTCCAGCCTCTCCTGCTCCTCGGCGCTGAACGGAGCCAGGACGTAGCTGGACACTGTCACGTCACCCTCCGGCCGCCCGATGCCCACCCTGAGCCGGGTCATCTCCTGGGGAGGAAGAGGGAAAGCTGGAGGGGCTGCACCTCAAGGGCCTGGCTGAGACAGAGCCGGGGCAAGGGGACAGCGCTGCGAGTGGGGCTGAGTGGTGAGGGAGCAGCTCCCCTCATGTTTTCCAGGTGGTTTCGAGTGCTTGCTCCAAGAAACATGATTTTGGAAGAGGCTTTTGCTGGGCTCGCTGAGATCCCGGGCTCCTGCCAGGCCTGGCAGAGCCACTCCAGCTAATTGTTTCCATGTCCTCCACGGCGGCCAAACTGACATCAGCCCTCGGGAAAGTGGAGGGAAGGAGAAAAGGGGGGAGAGGAGAGGGAGCAGGGGCTTGTCTGAAGGGGGTCAGAAGAATGGGAGTGGGAGAACGACAAGCCATGCATTGAGGTTGGGGCAGGACTGATCCCCTCCCACCAAGGCCCACTCACGTTGGAGCGCAGAGCACTGATGCAGGATCGGACCCCATTGTGTCCCCTTGGGAGAGAAGGAGAAAACCCACTGAGAAAAGCCTGCCCAGCCAGGAGCTGCAGCCCCCAGGCCCTGTCTCTGCAGGAACATCCAGCCCCTGGGGCTGAGAGCAGCTGGCTGGGGCGGATGAGGGAAGCAGGGCTGGCACAGCATGTTCTGTATGTCTCAGCTCTCACTGCAGCTGGTGCATGTGTGGCTGAGCACTGGGGCCCAGCACCAACCCTGCCCCGGCCTGCAGTGGAAGATTTCCTAGGTTAAATGTCTCGAGGCTGACCCAGGAGCTGGCGCTGGGGCAGGCAGGGTGCTATAAACAGCCCATGCGGCGCAGCCGATGGGGCGGGTCCCGCCCCCAAAGCCCCTTCCAGGAGGCACCCTGCCCTTCCTGCCAGGGTAGGAACCGGGAGGCTGCCCAAACAGCCAGCTGTCTGCAACTGGGACCGAGCCCAGGCTGGTGCTGGGGCCAAAAACACAGCCAGGCTGGTGGGACGGGGCCAGGAACAGCCTGTGTGCCTGTAAGGACATGGCAAGGCCTCGAACCAGCTCCCACAACCAGAGAGCTGGGTCCACCCCATACCTTGCGCTGCCTCCCAGCTTGATGGCCACTTTGCCCAGGGCCTTGTCCAGGTCATCGTGAACCAGGTAAATGTCTTCCGGGCGGAGGTTGTAGACCTCAGCTTTGGAAACAGAAACACAACCCAAGAAATGAGGTGGAGCGACTCCCCAGGCGCTGACCCTGTGGACCGGGGCTGCAGGGACCCACG